TTAGCGGTGCTCGACACATCCTTGAAGGACGGCGCTCTGAAGACCATCTTGCCATTGTACGAATAGGCGCAGCCGCAGTTTGCAGGGTTCTGATCCTGACCACTTTGGCACCCACGTGCCGTGTTACATTTGGCCATGCTAGTGCTGTATGCTATCACGTTCGGTTTCTGGACGGTGCAGAATGCTACAGTGGGTTTATCGGAGCACACTGGATTCAGGGCAAGCCTGTATGCAGATTTTGAGAAAAAACAGAGGCATGTCAGTGAATGCATGCAGAAAGGAAGTAATGGCCAGCATTTTAGGATCTTACAGCAGTGTCTTTTTGTAGTTTGAAATGCCAGCGACATCAACTATGACATTTTCTTGGAAATCCACGGTTTGCAGTTGTGCGCCGATGCTGCCTGGCATCGTAAGTGTTCCGCTCAACTGGTTTTTGCTCATTACACTGTACCATCATCAATACAAACACGTGAACATGAGAATGACTTATTTTTCTTTTCGTATTGAAGTTACTATGAGTATAGTTTGCTAGAAAAATTACACTTCATGCAGCTGGGGCAAATTGAAGAGTTCCTGGGGGACCTCGCCAGTGAGCCTCGCAGAAGACATCGATCTGAGTGATAACAAGAATATCATGATAAGTATGACATCATCAAAACAAATCGTTGCTTTAGAGAGTCAACCTTTTAAGATAACTCACATTGAAGAAATATTTGTTAGATTTGTGAACCAGCCTGGGATTACTGACGCGGTAAAGCTGTTGTTGCTTAAATCCCTGGTTATTAAAGCACAGACTAGTCAGTATTTTCCGAGATTGTTTTATATCACTGGGCAATGCAGCATGAAAGCATTATAGTTAGGTTCTTACACAACATTTAACACGTTCATGCTGCTGAGATTTGGCAGTGATCCAGTTAGCTTGTTGCTTGCCAAGTTCCTGCAGAAAGCATTTTCAGTAACAGGTATCTCCAGTCTAAAAAAATATTATCTTGACTAGTCTTGTAAGACACTTACAGCTCATTTAGGTTGACCAAGTTGGTGATGTTAGGAACTGCTCCCGCAAATTGGTTCCTATCCAGTCGGCTGTCGAAGACGAGAAATGTGTCAACGATTGTGATAAAAACAACTCTTGAGGAAAATGTGTGTTTCATTGTGCTGAAGCTACTCACAGTACTTGGAGCGAGGTAATGCTTCCAAGCTCACGCGGAATTGGGCCTGTGAACTGATTGCTATCAAACAATCTGAAAAAAAAATTGAAAAGAAATATTAGCAGGATATATTTATCGATATAAGATAAATTGGAAAGTTTGGCAATCCCTTACATGTGTATGAGGGTCATATTAGGCTTGAAGAGGCCTGTAAGCGTTCCAGATAGTTGGTTCTTGTTAAAATGGCTGTCCACCAATCAAAGTTTAGAACAACGAAACAACCGGAAGAGACGTGCTTGCAAACCGATGATCTTCCTTGATAGATCAAGACAAAAAGAGTAGTATCAAACTTACAAGTGCTTCGTGTTGGTAAGAAGGTCAAGGCCCGGTGTCGTTCCTGTTGAGATAGGGACACTTCCTGTGATGGCATTATCTGCCAGATCTAGCCAGAAGAGTTTTGAGAGTAGGCCAAGCTGAGGAGGTATTGTGCCCGTCAACTTGTTCGAATTCAGTGCCCTATATATCGATAACGTTCAACAGAACCAGTTAGTTTTTCTCTCCAATCAAAAGAAATAAGACGAGGAGTTTGCGAATGTGAGAAGTTTCATTAGAATCAAGCTAGCTACTTACAGGAATGTCATCTGCAGGAGGTTGCCTAGTTCTTTAGGTATGCCCCCGCTGAAGCTGCAACCAGCCAAGATCCTGACAAGCACATCGAAAGCGATTCAGTAAGTCTGTTTGGTCAACTGTTATTGCATCTGGAGCAGAAGGGTTGAGAACAATGATCAATTAATGCATCGCTTACAGTGTCGTAAGCTGCGCAAGGTTCCCAATCGAAGCGGGGATCGTACCACTGAGACCACTGTTGAACGAAAGGTCACTGCAATGCAAATGCTCGTGTTAGAGAGTCCACATATCAGCAGCAGGATTTCAGAACTTTTACATACAGTCTCATCTAGATTTTGTTCCATGCAATATTAAATTGAGGCATCTCTACTTTTCCTTCATTTTCAAATATATTACCTAATCCATGTTCACTGCCAAACTATCAAAAAGTTGAAAAGAAAAACCAACTACCAAAACTTAGACATGGTAACCTTGAATTGGTCTGCTCAGTTTCTATATTTTTTTTCAGGACTTGGTCAGACTTCTCTTAAGAAAGCAGAGTTCATAAACTAGAAGGAAAACTGCTCTGACTGGTTCGATAGCCCGAACAATGGCAGCTTGGAGGCAGCGATTTCATGGTGGGCGACGCGAGGCGACAACTTACAGGAACATGAGCTGGCTGAGCTGCCCGATGCTGTCGCTGAGCGTGCCCTGCATGTTGACGCTGGATAGCCGCCTGCAAAAACAAACCAGAGGAAATTGGTATGATGAGATGAGGCACACACTTGGCTGTTGAAGGAGCTGCGGGCCGGGGGACGCGATCGATTTGATTGTACTCCACTCACAGCGACGTGACCCTCCCGTTGCCGGCGCACATGATCCCGTCCCACGGGGCGCCGCAGGGGTCGCCGGAGTTCCAGCTCGACGGGTAGTTGCTCCACGCGCCCATCACCGCCCGGAGCGCCGCGACTGCCCCGGCAAAAAAACCACACACAACAAACAAGTTCAGCTCAGCTCAGCTGGGTTGGGCGGAGAGGCGTGAAATGAAATGGAACGGAGCTTTTTGGCTGACTGACCGTCGTCCGGGTTGGTCTGGCAGAGCCCCGCCGGCACGGTGGCTGCCACCAGCAGCAGGAGCAGCCGCGCCCGCCGCGTCGCCGCGTCCATTCTCTATCCACGGGCCAGTCCACGACGGACGGGACAGGGACAAGGGTGGGCGCCTGACTCGACCACTTGCCGGAGCCTCGCCCGGCCGGAAGCACGCACTTTCGCCGGAGCGAGCAGAGCGCCGCCGCGCTTCTTGCCCTTTGCCTATCGTCTACCTGGCTGGCTCCTCTGGTCGTCGGCTGGAAACTCTGGCGCTCTCTCTCTCTCTCTCTATCTCTCTGGCAAAAGTCGGAGACGGGAAGGAGGCGGGCACGGCAGGGCGTATAAATCCTACCAAGCCAACGCCAGCAGCCTGCTTGCTTCTTCCCCGACGCAGCGCGGAGGAGGGAAGAGGTCAACCCACCCGGGGGCAAGGCGAGGCGAGGCGAGGCGAGCGATTGATAAGACGCACGCTTTCAGACAAGACAGCCGGGTTTGCACTGCGCCACGTTGGTCAAACTAACCGCGCCGAGCGGCCGGGAGGAAAGAGGGACGAGAGCGGACTGCGCATTTCCACCATCTTTTTATGCATATTCAAATCCTCAATCAAAATGGGGCCCGGTTCTCCTAAAGACAAGAACAAATTTTAAATTCCCATCAGAAGCTTTCTCGGGAAAATTAGAAGGATCCCCATGGCCATGGGACGACGACCTGCTGGTGGCCTGTAGCCATCGCCGCCGGACACCCAGTTCCAGCTCCGCGCCCGGTTGCAGTTGCATGATTTGCGCGTAGGCGTTGCCGTCGTCGTCTTAATTAGCTGCTCATTCTTTTATCCGTGGCTAGCTAGTGGTCTGGTCTGGGTGCTCGCCCGGCCATCGGCTTAAAAATCCAACGACCAGCCTTTGATTGCGTCGTGTTTGTGGAGATTAGTTTATACGCCGAGGAAAACATCCCCGGGTGGTTGACAATTGAAAGGGCATCGACCTTTCTAGCGGCAGGGGAAGGGGCATGCATCATGATGCAACTGGGATGAGGGCCAATCGGTTGGCCCGGCAGGTGGCTGGATCGATCTATCTATCCATCGTCCGTCCGGCAGTCCTCCGGCCGGGTACGGTGTTTATGTTTGTTGTTTAGCTCGTGGACTGACGATTTTTAATGCGAGCGTCGGGTCCCGGGGTAGTAGTGGCTGATGGCGACGTCGACGGCGACTTTCTATATCCAAGCCTCGGTCTCTTATTGATTGGAACAGTTGAGGCCGGGCTCTGCAACTGGATCGAATGTGCATCCTCGACGTATTCATATGCATTGCATGTATTTCTCTCACCATCCAGGAGGCAGAGAGGCGTATGAATGCGTGTACGGCCTGCAAGTTGAGGGAGAGTGGACGTGAGCCCCGGTCAGTGACCTGCTCCTGGTCAGAGAACAACAGCCAGCCTGCCTGCACGCGTGCTCCGCTCCTCCATCCCCTCCAAATCCGGTGTCCCCGTCGAGGCCTCGCTCTCTCCCCTAGCGCAGAGACTTCGATGTGGGTCGCCGGCCACCGGACTGTACTTCCTTCGCCTTCCGCAGGCCGCAGCTCCAGCCTCCCGCCTCCTTGGCGGCGGCAAAATGGCAGCCAGGAACTGGTCCCGGCATACCACGCACGGGGGCACGTCGGCCCTCGTCACCACGGACGCAGGCAGGCACAGGCCACGGAGAATTAATCCTCGATGGTTCTACCTTTGACAGTTTCATGCATAGTGGTAAACTTGCATCGTGCTTCATACTACTAATAATATTATAGCATGGACTAACCCATAATAAACCCTTTAAAAAACATGCTCCGCAAATAATACACAATGCTAACCAAGCAAGCAACGTTTTCGATACGCGCAACACGGCGGCGGCGACGCGAAAATCATCCAAATCGCAAACCGGGGCAGACGGTTAACAGGGATAATTACCTGGTCAACAAGGCTGTGATTTCAGACTAAAATCAAAATGTGACGTCTCAGCTAGCAAACACGGCGGGCGAGTGCCCAGGGTTCCAGTTCTATATATGCCTCGCAAGAAAAGAAAACGCTGATTGGGTTGAGGAGTCTGATGGAGGAGGGTGTGCACATTAGTTTCTGATTCCATCTACAAAACAGGTCAACCTTACATAAAACATGTGTTGTGCCCTCAGTACCGCCTCGCCTTGGACTCGCTCCTCGCGAGGATCATCCCGGAGAGCTTGTCGACCTCGTAAAGGATCCCGGCAGAGAACAGGAAGCTGCGGCCACGTGGAGCAAGCAACAAAATAAGCAAGTCAGATAGTTCATGAGGAACTGTGGCACCAAGTAATCATCGGAAAAAGGTAAAAGCAGCAAAATGAGCATAATACGGAAAAGACAGATCTTAAGTTATTTAAATGGCAGAACTCTTGATATATTTGTTTTTGTAAATGGTGCCCTGCCCTTTCTAGATCCTTCAAGGGGGATAGTCACTAGCATCATTGTGTTGGTGCCAACCAGGCTTCCTTTACTGGTAGATTGCTATGTGTCCAACACACAAAACACTTGGAAAATGCTGCCTCGTCATGTGACCAGGGTATACATAAGCTAAGGCTGCTAAGCTTCTTCATCATGTACCAGACTAACATAAGCTAAGTCAGCTAAGATCTTCACAATGCACCACAATAATATAAGCTCTATCAGACCATGTGAGCACCAGAATGTCAACACCATGGTGAATGTAGCAAATAATTTCAGCCAACATAACTATAAAATGTGATTATTACAATATTTTCAGAATAACTTTAGCTCCTCTCCTAGCTAATCATGATTGTTGGGTGACAGAATTTTTCCGACTAGCTGAGGAACTTTTGTCGCATACAAGTATATATGTATATGCAACAATAACTCGTTCTAATCTGACAGGCTATAGAAGGATCACTAATTTAGATGGATTTTGCTCAGCTGCTAATCATGCATCCTATAACTACTGTCAACATCAAACAATAGGTAACCTACAGTTGGCAATGCTGTTATACGGAGAGTATTGTCTAATCTAATACAGTTCTTAGCAACATGCAAAAGCTTAAGGTGTTATTTACAGTACCAGCACACTAAACTTTGTATGTATTTGTTACCTTATATTCCCATCTACTATTGCAAACACGAGGAAATAAAAAATTCATAAGCATAATTCCATTAGCACATCTAAGATTAGCATTTCTGAACAAGGAATCATCAAGGTCTATCAGTTCTATCATGGGACCATACAACTATTAACGACTTGAACAAAGAATTGGCGAAGTATGTTAAAGGAATCATACCATGTTGTGATGCAAACGCGGTGGACAGTGCCAGCTACAATAAGAGCAACAAGTTCTGCTACAACAACTGCATGAAAAGAACAGAAATGATGACAGATGGTTCAAGTTCAAAAATGAGAGAAAACATGAGAATGAAGTATATACCTGCACCCCACCCAGTTCTAACACCACTAGCTTCTTGGTAATTACCGATAAACTGCAAAACTTGCTCTAGTTAGCACATTAAAAAAATCTATGCAGCAAAGTAATAATTGTTGTTTGCTCATAAAGGAAATGACGACTACAGAAATCATCATTCCTATTTAGAACACAAAACCATACAAGGGTGTCAGTCAAATGTATATAGCATGCATGCTTCCTAGTTGGGTCTGCTTTCACTATTTTCTCGTTATAGAAAACAAAACTGACAAAAGATAAACTTATGTATAGCCATCTGTGGGGGTTTTGGGGTTTAGGAAATGCTTCGCCATGTTGAAGCCAGAGTGGATTCCAATACAAAAACAAGGTCCCCTTTGGTGTCTTCGGCGGATTTAAAGTGACATGAACCCACAAAACTACCACAATTAAGGCTTGTCACTGGTCATAACTTTTTAGTACTATATACCTAAATATTTTACCACAACGTCAATTATACTTCAGGAGCTTAATATATTAGAACAAACAAGCTTATGTCTCCAAGATTGTTGGATTTGAGAAGTCAACTCTTCATGGCTCCAGCTGGAGACAAACACTTTCTCGTCTGTATCTAGACAAATCTAAGACAAGAATTTTGGGACGGAGGTAATACTAGACAAACACAACCTTAGCTGCTACTTATGATTGCTCACATTGTGGGAAGTAATTGGCCACTGAGCCTACATAACAGAGCAATGCAAGTTTCGGATCAAGGGATATTTATATCTTAGATAGAAGAGCAATGTGATAGGGTATTTTTCTGTTTGTGAAGCTACTCTAGGTCCACAAAACTGAAGCTGAAGAACACATAAAACCTGCAGAAACTAGCTATCAGACGTCACATGATCGAGAATTCTATCCTGCACTGCTGAATGTTGCTACACTGGATACAAGAATCATTGCAAATCACATGCCCATTTGCTACACCCTAAACATTTTTTAGAGAGAAAAAAACCACAACCTACGAGTATCAGTACACTATCAATCAGGTGAGAGGGGCTTATCCACCACCACGACTAATTAAGAAGCAGAAAGGAAGGGAGGGATGAGAGGATTGACGCACGGCGAGGAGGAGGAGGAAGAGGAGGGAGCTGACGAATCCGCCGGCGATGGTCTTGAGCTCGGACGCGGCGAACCAGCCCTGGTACATCTCCAGCAGCGACAGCGTCACCGCGAACAGCAGCAGCGACAGCAGCATCGACCGCCCCGTGCTCGCCATCTGCGACACCAGATCTCCGACAGCCAGCGGATAACGAAATCAACAACCTCGCACCCAACCCAAGAACCAAAATCATCAGGAGAACGGAGATCCTCACCTGGACCGGGTAGGATCGGAGATCTGAGGCGGCAGCGCGAGGGGGCAGTAGGGTTTTGGCGCTGCCGCTTCTTCTTCCCCCAGTCCGTCTCCGGTCTCGCGAGCTGAGTGGTGTGGTGAGATCTACCACGCCGCCGAGTCGTCGTCGCCAGGAGACGACGGTGCAGGCCGTATTGGGCCGACGACCCAGAGGCCGATGGGCCCCATTTCGGGCGTATGGACGGCTTGGTTGGAATGTTTGTTTGCTTACCGGGCCGCATATGGGCCGTTGGTTAGGGCCTGATGAAAGCGGACGCGCACCGCCGTCCGCCGCTCCGTTCCCCCATCCGTCCCCCCTCCCCCCCGGTCGCACTCGTTCTGCTGCTCCCCGCATCGTCGCCGTCCTCCTCCGCCGCCGCGGCGCCTCGACGCGGAGAGATCCGCGCGCGGGGCCTGGCCGCCGTCGCTTCGTCAGGTCTCTCCCGCTCTCCCTCTCCAGAACCTCCTGCTAGAACCCTCTTCCCTTCCCGTGGGCAGGACGGCGAGTGGCCGCCGCCGTGCGCGCGCGGGGCGGGGCGGGGCAGGCTCGCTTGCTTCTGGATCCCCGCCATTTGGTCTCGCGGTCGGCCGTGGGTTCGCTGGAGGGTGGAGTGGCTTTGGAATTCCAGTAGATTCGATTTTGACGCTGGCGCTTTTCGTGCCGATGGTCGGATGCCGGGACCAACCCTGGATTGGGGCCTGGGGAATCTGAGCTGCCGATTGCTTCTGTGCTTTTGCGCGTAGCTTGATTTTTGTCAGCAATCTGTTGGAGAGTGTGGGTGGCTGTATGCTCGCGATTGCTTTGGTTCTCAGCAAGTAGGTTTTTTAGCTGTTTTTGTGCTGCAGCTGTGATTGGGAGCTTGCGAGCTTGATTCAAGCTCGCCCGCATGACACACATTAGCTTGGGCAAGCTGGGCATGCATTGCCCTGTTGCCGTGGCCGTAAATTCTTCTGGACGGAACCTTTTGCTGGTGGGAGCATCATAACCGCAGTGTTAACTTTTCTCCCCGAAGTAGTTGGAACAATATTTCTGCTCTCAATGTACAATCCAACTGGTGACCAGCATTTTATCGTCGGTTTTGGTATTACTGAGTTAGGTTTATAGTTTAGCACATGATACAAAACAGGGGTAGCTTCAGATTTTGGATAGTTGTGCAGAAGTGTTTTTAGCTTCTACAAGGAGATAAGATTGACACC